AAGGCGTTTGCCTATATTTCCCTTAATAAATTGACTTGACTTGACTTGATTTAAGTCAGCTGCGGTATTAAATGCCTGCGGGAGAAAAAGATCGTGGTCCCCACTGATATTGGGTGGGCAATACACACAACCAACGAGTACGGAGTAGTTATACTTAAGAGCAACTGGGAGTCAGCAGCTCCCTTCTACCGCGGTAGATTGTTGATAGTACAACGGCAGGAATGTAAGTGGTTGCTTAACATAGCTGGAGCTGCCTCCGCCTCCGCCACGGCCATCTTATCGATCATTTCTAACGCAGGAATAGCTCAGAAGAGAAAGATCGGAGTCAGCTACGAAGGATGTTGCCCATGTTCCTGCTACTATTACCATGTCTGAGCAGTGGACGAAAACCAGAGTCTGGAGCAGATGCATATTAGTTAGCAGAGTTCTGGCATTTAAAACGAAAAGTTTAAGGGGACGCTTCTTTGGTTTCTGCGACGGGACAGCCAGACTATCACAGTGACTGCCTTCAACCAGAGAAATGGTCTACTGACTTGAACTATTTGTACGTTCCTTATTTTGAGATTCGCCTCCCTATTGGTCCTTCGTTTTCCCAGTTCTATTATTAACTGTCTCATATTCATTCGTTCTTTCAGCCCGTAATCCGACTGCAAATAACTTCCAAATGCAGACTCCGTAAGAACAATCTTCCCTCTAGCAAGAGCCGTGCCTCTGCTTCAGTTTTTAAAATGACGTTAAGAGGTCGTGGCCGAGGATTTGATCCTGGTGTTGTCGGAGCCTTCCCATCCGATATGCCTTGAGAAGGCAGAATTACACACCGTCCTTTAGCAACGTTTGGACATGCAATTTTAGGAGATTCACGTCATAGTCAACTCTCTCATTTGGAATTGTTGACGCTGACTTCGGTACCCCTTTTAAATCTAAATTCTGCTTAGGACTCAATCGGGCACCTGTTGTCAGCTCACATGTTTCGACTGCGTGAGCACTTCCATCCGGTTCAGGCCTTGTGTCTTCGGTCGTCGGCTAAGCTTCAGAGAGTCATTCCACCCTTGCTCGATAGTAACAAGCATTTTGTTACATAGGATTTGGGCAAAGCAGAATTATTAAATTCCTTTTTCGTCAAGTTCTTTACCATTGAAACTAGCCCCACTATCATAACGCCTCTGCTGTGTGATTGAATTCTCACTACTATTGATTTCTCACCTGCAAGTAGTCAAACATAAATAAGTCGGCTTAAAAATTCGCATTCAGTGAGATCTGATAACATTCCAAACTCACTCAAAAGCAAGTAAGACATTTTCCACTTTTACTGAGTACATTATTTTCAGTATTCCTCGAGCTTAATTTTCTGCCTAAGTGAAACTATTTTTCCCTGTCTCGTGTTCTCAGGACCCTAGATGTCTCCATAAACCACCGGTCATTCAAACAATGGAAGTCATATGGACTTACCCAGTCCAAACTGTTCCCGTTTCGTCGGAATTCTATTTAGGCTTCTGAGATGTCTAGGTCCTTCGTGCACTTCGCGTGATTGCATTTTATGGGCATTGGCGACCAGGGTGCGAGGATCCTCAAAGCGCGGTTAAGTGGTACGATGATGCCTCTTTGCAGGCCGAACTAACAAACAAGCGGTGAAAAACTCAGAAGTGTCCTCAGAGCATTATTGGTTTAATTAAATAGAGAACACTTCAGTAAATTTATCCCGGAAATGAGTAGGACCCTACCAGTTCACCCTTAACAATAAACTTCAGTTTGCTTATTAAGTCAATGTTAATGTAAAAGTATGAAGCCGCCGTATGACTTCCAGGATACACCACACTGTGGAATGCTTTTATAATTTCGTTTAGGA